TAGATATAATGCAGTGGATTGGTATCTGCAATGCTACTGACATTACTGAAGGCATCAGGTCTTGGCCACACAAGTCACTCAATTATTTGTTTAAATTAGTGTTTCGTCTATAAATAGTGAAGTCAGAAAATAGTGGGGAAAATACCCTTCACACCAGCAGAGTCTGATGTTCCCGTATTCAAATTGCAGCTTTGGTGCAACCAGCAGACCAAACCCAAAGTTGTTATACTAAAAGCAACAAATACTCACACCTGAGAACCTGAAAACATCAGTGTTTGATGCATGTGCTTAAAATATAAACCATTAATCAATCCTCCCAGTTGTTGTTGACTAATTTTCTATAAATTGACTAATTGTTTCGGCTCTAGACGGATCCACTTGAAATCCTGTTTTTAGTCACATTAAGATTGTAGCAGCATATTTTTTTCAGTCTTTAACAGTGTAAATCAAATTTGGACAAACCTTAAAAGAAAGTTGTACAAAATGTCCCCACTTATAAATAAGAATTGAATGCTCTCTTTGAGTTTCACAAAGATTTTAAGCAGGAAAAGAAAATACAGCATCTACTATCTGATCAGTACTCAACATTAGCTAATAAGATCAGATTTGGAAGAAATGTGATACAGATATCCTAAAAAGAAATAGAGACATAATAAAGGCTGTTATTTTCCAAAAAAAATCTGGCTCACTTTATACCACACACACATCTGTCGAAAGCCATAACGTGCTCAAAACCTGCTACTCTAATGAATACAATACATCAAGTCTGAGAGATCAAAAGGTCTGCAGGCAGCTGCCTCACAGCAGTGCACTCTGGATCCTGCTGCTCAGCAGCCACATCAACTTCAGTCAGTTCCAAAAGAATTTCAATTAGATTAAACGGATGATGATGAAAGTATTTGAGAATTATTTTCACAAAATAATCTATCCCACAAATGAAGGTCTGTCTGCAAACAACCACACAATTGTCAATTGAAATGTTAGAACAAATGTCAAAATAGAGTCACACACATAAACCACACATACCGCAACCGCAGGGGTTTGAATGTTTATGATGTCACGCTTACACTTTATTTTTAGTTTTTAACCATCTAGAGTTGAAATTGTGCCATCTACACAACGTCTCTTTAAGCAGAACTTTCAAACTTTCACCAAAACATGGATGATTTTGATTCTGCTGATCCAGCTCCAACTACATCTCATCACACATACCTGGCTTTTTTCTTGTTGAAGGATGGTTTCACACGCTTGTTCCTCGCCAGGCTTTGGGGAGGACGGAGCCTGAAATGGTTCAACCTGGTGCGTGTAAACGGCATGGTGGAAACGAGTGTGTCCAGCGTTACCTCCTCTCTGCCTCCCATATCCACAATGCTAAAGGAATCCAGGAATTACAGACCAGAACAAACCCTAGCTTTATCCAGTCCTGGTGGTTGTACACCATGTGAGTGCGATGCAAATCTGTCCGCTGTTCCAGTTTCTCTGTGCGGTGACAGGAAGTGATGCTGGAAGACTTTACTGAGGCTTGGGGCTGTGTGGCATGTTTGTGATCTGAGTGGAGCTGGAATGCAAGAGGGAGTGACGACTCTCTGAACATTAACACATCATTCACACCTGTCTCCTCCCAGGCCACTCCGAGGTGACACACCCTGCCCACATACGTGATAGCCGCCAACTTCCTCTGATAACTAGTTAAGTTGAAACATAATGACAGTTCTTGTTCTGGTCTAGAAAAACGGTCTAGTGGAAGACAAAAATGACGCCTCTAGCCACGGAAGTGTAAGATAACTAATCTTAATGTCCACTCAAAGGTACACCTCATTCACTTTATTGGCCTTTTACAACTAAACTTAAGCTAATTAATCAAGGATTCTTTGTTGAAAAGATGAGGCATGTTATCACCTCTTTGCTTTGCCGTTACTGTATGAGTTAAGAATTAAGTTAATCAATCAGATCAAAGGATGAAGATGTTCTCTTCTTACTCAAATTCTTTTGGTAATCACAAATCACACAGCGCATACTTGTAGTGTGACAGCAGCTGACGTGGTGCGGTATTTTAAATCAAATCATGCCTTATATGCAGAAGACAGGCTACTTATTGCACCATTAATGTTATCATAACTACCATCCTAGTTCAACCTCATACCTGGCCTATTACACAGTTGACATAAATAAGTATCAGGTGGCTGAGTGTGGATGTATGAGCACGCGGCGGAGGGAGAAAGTGTCGAGGAAGTGTGTCGAGTTGTGCAACAGGTCTGTCAACATTGCCTGTGAGTAGCACTGTAACCCCCCAACCCTTAACCAAATCACTGACTCAACTCCATTCATTCTCTCTTGTCATGTGGACAACCTATACATCAGCTGAGGATGTAAACAGACACACACCTGGTAAGGTTTGGAGAAATATGAGAAAAACATTCCAGTGGTTTTGACACCTGGGTCATTTTAGTGAAACCTGACAGAGATGTGTGTTTTTTAACAGTCTGCTAATGCATGACATAGTTCTGTCTGTTTTAATAAAAGCTTGATGAACAATTTTGGGAATGCACTTCCATGAAAACCTGCTGTGCAGCTTAGATCGACAGTTTATCATATGACAACAACTCCGTTCATACTACCTAAAAATAACCTAAGTATGCCAGCAACTTCACTATGGAATACCTTCCAAGCTCAGGTTATGAAGAGAAATAAAGAAAGCTTTGGGTCTATTTTTCCAGGGCTTCCTTGTTTTGCTTCAAGAACCAAGCGGAAAAACAGCATTGTCCTGTTTGTTTTTAAACCTGCTAATAATACTCTTCACCTTGCCAGCACGTTATAAAGCGCTGCCACAAAACAAAACGTGCTTCATGCTACTTTTGTAAACAGACAATCGAAAACAGGGGCTACTGAAAATGTCAGAGTGTTGGGATTGTTTTTTGTTGAATAGGCCTCAGATGAACAACAGGAAGCCATCCACTCTGAGAGAAGAATGGACAAAATGTCAAACTGTTGTCTTATTATTATACTCAGCAGCATTGTGGGAAATAACATAAAGTAACCCCAACCAACAACTCTGGTCAAGGAATACAATAATCCAGTTAAAAAAGCGGCTAATGTTGAAAGCAACACAGTGTTTAATCCCTGTGGCTGAATGCCATTGCAAGCCTCTTAGCTTGCAGAGAATTCAAGTTTGCTCATACAGCTTTGAGAAAGTGTTTCTTCTTAACCTCTGTCACAGCATGGATCTGTCCTATAGACAATACTCAACACAAAGAGAGATGTTTTTGAATCACAGTAAGTCTACATAGTCCCTAAACGTCGTCCAAAAAAAGTACCAAGAACAGCAAAACATGGGACTAAAAACTATGATTTAATGATTTAACTGAAACTGCTGCAACGCCAGTAAAACCAGCTTTCCCATCAAAGACCAAAAAGTCACAGAAGAAAACTATTTATATAACGTTGCTCAGCACCCGTTCCCAAATCAGCCAAATAGTAAATGGAGTAGCTTAATCCACACACGAGCTTCGTCCCAACAGCCACAGCGGCTGCAGAGGCCTGATCCTACCTGGCCTTGGCCCGTGCGATGGTCCTGCCCGAGAGCAGCAGCAGGGCGGCCGCCGAGCCACTTCTCCCCCACGGCATCCTGCTGTTGTCCCCCCAAACTGCTGCAACCTGTAGGAAACAGCAGCCGCCTGCCCCTGGCAAGCTGCTTCCTTGTAATCTCTTCAGCGCACAAACACATTAGAACAAGGACGGTCTCACTGCGCTGGTAGGCACGTTGCTACATCGCATCCTGGGGCAGGAAAGGAGGTCTTCATGGTGGCGGGGCCAGGGGAGGGAGAGGAGCTGAGTGGTTGAATAGCTGACCGGGGCTGGGACACACAGTGTCTGAATGGCTGGAGCTGAATGGATGGGGCAGAGGACACAGCAGCTGCATGCCTGAATGACTGTCCGGCTGGCTGGCTGGACTAAAGTTATGCTGGGTCTTCATCATTTCCACCAGTGGGACAAAGACAAATGGAAAAAACTTCCTTTGTATTAAGGGCAACATGCTCACATATTCCTTTACTGATTCACTCAAACTCAACAAAGGAATTTTGCTGTTCTCTTTAACTTGACCTCAGTAACTGAATGCCATGATCCAACTGACTGTCACTTATTTACAGCAGGGTTTATTATCAATGAGCAGCAGCAAAGTCTCAGACAAAAACAGTGGCACTTGAACTATGGAAAGATCTATGAGAGGGAGGAACACAAGGCAGAGTAGGGCAGACTCAAACAACCTATAATTAAACTTTTCATCTTTTGGACATGGTTTATGACCAAATGTTTATAATATGAGTCCTCCAGATAACACAGGTCAGGCAGGACCAGTTTCAAGAGCTAAAACATGGTAAAACTTAACGTTTAGTCATTATTCTGTGCATAGGAATTAAAATATTAACATTTATTAATATTTTACCTACTTTAAATGCACCTTTTTTCATTTTGTATAGTTTATTCTTTATTTCTCAATATATGCCTTTATATACCTCAATTCAAACATATTAAACTGCCTTAAAGAATGAGATAGGCTATACAAGGAAATGTGTCTTGCATTGTGTTGCCTTTTTGTATCAGTATTTTGATGTTTGGTTTACCATGGCGCCATAATTCAGTGAGATTTACTAAGTTTGTCCCATTAGGAGAACGCTTTAAGAGTGGATTGGACTTTGTACCACAGCAGTGTCGAGTAAGTGGAAGATTATAGGAAATCTATACAGTGTTTAGGAACATGCGTGAGCTACCTCATGTTATAAAACTGTTAATGTGACATTTAATTTACTTCATGTCAAAGGAAATATTGGCTAATTTTCTTCCATTTATTTATGAAGCTATGAATAGCATGGAAGTTTATTTAATATGTAGAATTGTAGGACAGGTTTCTACTGATCCACCATGAATTCCCACGATGGGTGTGTTCATTAAGTCCACAAAAACTAGGTGGTGCAGCGTCACGGATGAGTTTGGCCTCCTGCTTTAACGTATGTACTTGTCACTAATGGCATGATTTTTAAGGACAAAAAGGACTTTAGGCAGCTACTTGTAGACACAAAAATACTATATTTTATCTAATATTATATTTTCAAAATGTCTTTTGCAAACAAGCTCAATATCAGTATTGTTCTTTTCACTTCAGAAGCCCTGATGGTGTGCCCTCGGTCCACGTTGTGTATATATACATATATTGTATGTATGTGGCCAAGTGAAGCTGCCTCACTGCTTTAAATAACTGCACATGATTTTATAACAAATGTTTCCACTAAAATAAAAACCGTAACAAAATAGCTACGCCATAAAAAATCTCTCATGTCATAACAAACAATTAGATAACAGATCCAGCCGTACGGGATATAACTAAATACAGAATCAATTTGGTGTGGCTGAAATCAAATTAGGCTCCTCTCTGTTGTAAGATATCTGGAGGGATTAGTGTAGCCTATGCTGCTGGTGTCTCAGTCACTTCTCCCACTCGGTTTGTCTCTAACCAGATCAGCACAGATTAGGGAGACCACAGGAATCCCTCATGGGATTTTACCTTTCTCAGTTCTCTCTCTACTCACAACAATGTATTCCTCACTTCTCTCTTCTCCGTTGTTTCAGACTATGAAGAGGTTTCTGCGGTCTCTGCTCTTTTCTCTTGCAGTAAACCAAAGCCTTTATTGCCCCATCTTTCCTTGAAACGTTTCTTTCTTTTCTCTTGAATCATGTCAAAAGTCAAGGCCTTTTTCTCGCCTTCCCTCCTCGGCTCACAGGCATGCCTGGAGGAAAAGGAGAGTGGAGAACGTGATGGCATGTGACCCTGCAGATGGCATGTGACAGCCAGCTTAGCCTGATGCCCTGCTCATCCACCTTTTGGCAAGCAGAGCACAGAGCCTGTGTGGAGTGAAGGAGAATGGAGGTGAGGACAGGAAAGTGGAGCAGAGCAGAATACAGGGGAGAGAAAAATAACAAAAAGAGGGCAAATGATGACAGAGGAGGATAAAACAGGAGGGGCAGGAGGATGTGAAAAGAAATGTAGCCTAAGTTGTTTAAAAAGAAATCCTAACAGAAGAATCTGCTTCATGTTTTAAACGTGGCTCAGGCCGAGACACTTCCAGACGGTTCTGACTAACAAGCACAGAGACAGAATGATGCAGCATGTCACTCATACCAATAACTCCTCCACACACATAGTTTAAAAACTTGGCGCATACTGTATATGCTCACACGTGTGCAGACACACAAGCACGCAGAAACCAAAGAGGTGAATGTGATAAACTGTGTCATCAAATGCCGAAGTTCATTTGATGCAGCTGACGCAAGTTTGTTTTCAACCTAATGACCATGACACGATCAAACCAGTTTGATCGAGTTTTTTTTTTTTTTATGGGATGAAAAAACAAGTCATGCACGTGTTGTTTTCATCGGATACATACACATAGGCAGGACTGTGCTGTAGCGTTTGAATTCCTGCATTGCACCCGCAGTGATGTGGGTGTTTCCGCTCATCATTATTTATGGCTGTACATTAATTCATCTGGGCGGGTGCAGCTGAACTTGTTCTGGAAGCACAGATGGGAGGTGAGTTGGAGAAAGCTTCAATCATCCGGTCACATAAACATATTGATGCATCATTCAAAATACGTTCCAGTGCAAGGCTCTGCGAAATCCACAACTCTAACATCGATCTTAAATAACTTCACATCGGCCAGTGCCATCACAGTTAATTACTGATATTTTCTTTCTGTCAAAATGTTCTCATGGCATGGTTTCATCTTTTCAGGGAGTTTAATTGTGTGAAAAATAACATTCAACAAAACTGCTCACTGCCCAGTA